AAGTAATCCTTGGAATGCTAATTCATGCAAACTAAGATTAAGTTCAGCTACTTGTAGGTTGACCAACAAAATAACACATTGCTGTAGATCACCAAACCATTTAAGACACAGCTAGATGTCGGAGGTTGTATTTGCAGCATTCAAGCTGGGTGTAATTTTGAACATTTTTAAGGCCTACATGTATGCCAGCAATAAAGAGCCAGCTAGACAGTGGCCTACTGATACTGCCTGACCGCTCAGGCCCAAAATACCTACTGAATTCTATAAAAAAAAAAAAAAAAAAAAAAAAAAAAAAATTGATGTTTTGCACTGATGAAGGCATATAGCCGAAACGTTTGCAATTAAATTAAATTACTAAATGTTCGTGTTTGTGTGGCTTGTCTGATTATTTTACTGAATTCTATGAAATATTTGAATTTCCATCAACTAACTCTGGGGACAGTCAACCATTCCAATTACTCAATCATATAGAACAGAATAACAGTTTTGTGAGATAAAGAATATACTGATAATTATAGTACTATATGTGCTATATGGTTGATGGTTAAGATACTTGTCAATGTGTTGATATAGACATTGGTTTATTGGCAATGGTTATTTCCTGCAGCAGATGTACTATGTTTGTATTATGTTTTGTCTTCTAGAAGATAAGATGTCTGATAAAGGACAAGGGAATTTCTTAGTTTGTGGTTTGGCAATTGCAGGCAACCATACCTAGAAATCTTACCAGATAAAAGGTACAAGGAAAAGTAATTAAATAAGATTAAAATATGTTACGGCTAGGTATCCCTGTACTGTTTACTGAACCAAAACTGAATAAAAGTTCAAAATAATAAAATCCATGCATTCTATTAATGATCCATCGATCTAACAATCTTAGATACGGAAGTAGAAATGAGTTGTTGCAACAGGTTGTTACATTATTCATGCCATATAATTGATACTTGTCACATTAATTGCAACTTGGGTATTGTAGCATTGGGTAATGAATTAAAAGTGCAGATGATTTTCATGAAATTTTGATTATTTTAGTCCATTGCTATTACTTTTAATATTATGCAATGTCATTTGGTGCCAGTTCATTAAAGTATTAATTCAGACAAAAACTGAAAGACATAATTGTGAAATTTGTTTATTTTTGCTGTTAAATATATATTAAAAAATTTGATGCAATGTTGGTTTTGCTGATTTTACTAATTTAAATTATTAAATATGTTAATTATGATAATGAAATACCAAAATTGAGTATCCAGAAGTTTAAAGTATGTTAAGATTTCACTGTTTGCGAAAATACTGGCAATTTCTATAGTAACTTACATGCAAATCTTGACAGCTTAAAGTTATCCAAAAACCAAGATGATAGATACAATAAAACATTAAGACCAACTTTCATAAGACTAAAATATAAAAAATCTCTTTGAACTGATAGTTAATCATACATTTTATATGTATAGATATATATATATAGGAATGATGGTAGAAATGTATTTGCCAGAATGGGGAGTTTTTATGTGAGTAGGAAAACAGACAGGAATATAACAGACAGAATAAATCACAAACAGTTGCAGAATCTCACAATATTATATATATACCTGCAGGAATCTCTGGTATGGAACACGAGTAGGAAAAAAATTAACATCGTTCTTCTTCTTGGGAAATTACGAGAAACTTGTTTTGCAAGGATGTTGCTTATAACCTTACAGTGCAGTGTTTGAATTATTGATGGAATAATTTTCACATTTGTAAATGCAGCTTGAGCGTTTGACTGCAAAATGAATTTATGCAATTGATTAACTTAAGAAAATAGATGATATTTTAGGAAATGAGTTTTAAAAATAAATGTGAAAAAAAGAAATTTTATAAATTAAACATTGTCACACATTTAAATGGAAAAAGGGGCTTTTATGTTTTCTTCACATTCTGACATAAATAAATTTTAGTTAAACATATTAAAAGTTAAATCATATTAAATGTTAAAGGGGAGAAAAATGGAAATTTGTTGAATAATATTATAGTACCCTATCCTAGGTGTATTAGGATGCCATTTTAGATGTAACCCATTTCAGGCCTCTCTGGGAAGAAGACGGGAGGTGTAACACAGTTTTACAAGGGTTGGTAATGGGGTTTCTGATTCAGGTTTAAGTGAAGTAGTCCTCCTTTATAAGAATGTTTTAGGTGAACAGTGGGGCTATCTTGCTAGCACACTGCTAATTTGGTATTCACTATAAACTTCAGTCATAACTTGTATAAGGTCACTGACCTGAAGTACCATAATTAGTCCCCTACCGGTTTACTGGAGGGGACTTTAGGTTTACCCTCCGTCCGTCTGTCCGTCAGTCCGTCCGTCAGTCCGTCCGTCCACAAAACTGGATCCCGCGATAACGCAAAAAGTACTGAAAATATTTTAATGAAACTTGATATATGGATAGATGGCAGTATGGAGATTATGCACGACTTTTTCTTTTCTTCCTATGTTGAAAATTCTGGTTGCTATGGCAACAAATAGACTGAAAATATGGCAAATTTTACACATAACCTGGATCCCGCAATAACGCAAAAAGTACTGAAAATATTTTTATGAAACTTGATATTTGGATAGATGGCAGTATGGAGATTATGCACGTCTTTTTCTTTTCTTCCTATGTTGAAAATTCTGGTTGCTATGGCAACAAATAGACTGAAAATATGGCAAATTTTACACATAACCTGGATCCAGTGATAACACAAAAAGTACTGAAAATATGTTTATGAAACTTGACATATGGGTAGATGGCAGTATGGAAATTATGCACATCCTTTTTTATCTTCCTATGTTGAAAATTCTGGTTGCTATGGCAACAAATAGACTGAATTTCAAGATTTCTGATTCTAGTTTTTAAGTTTTTTTCATTATAAGTTCTTTATTTCTTAAGGTATTTTCTTCAAACTTTAAATATAAGTTGCTTGTCATCAACCACATCATATGTGACAAGGTTTACAACTCTAGCACAAAATTTATCAGAATTACCTCCCTTGAACTTTAAAAATGTTCATGAAAAAAACATTGTTTTTTAATAACTTCTTTTTCTGAATGTATCTACTTCAAACTTCATATAAATGTTTCTTATTGTCACTCAACATTTGTGAGTGTTCAATACTCTAGCAAGACTATTTCCAGAATTATGCCCCTTTTGAACTTAGACTTTTTTTTGAGAAATTGGTAATTTTTACTCCAACTTTTTCAATCATGATAGGATTTTAAAAATGTTATATTTTGATAACAGGGATGTTTAAAAAATAACTTTAGAGTGTCCTTCAGTCCGTCTGTCTGTACATAAAAACTGTTTCCTATGATCACTTTTAAAGAACTTTTTCAACAAATTTACTTAAAATAGGAACCTAAGTGAATGGCCAATGGCCCTTCAGAATGTTGCTTGGGCTCTTACCGGTAGGGGACTTATGGATTGCTTGCAATACTATGATAATTGCTTGTTATCTCTGTATCAAGGATGGAACCTCACTGAATTATTCCCTTTTGTTAAATTGATTGTCCTTGTTTGAAATATTCAAGCATACCCTCTGTCTAACAGCTCTTATTATCTCCCCTTAGTGCAAGAATCACTTTCATGTATTGTCAATATGAAGAAAACAAGACAATGATTTTTACTGTGTTTTATTTGTTTACAAGTTACAACTAATATATATAATAAAGTTATCTAGAGATAATTGCTTTATGCAATAAATACTATAGTTGTTTAATATTTATATGCATATAACTTATATACATGTATAAAAACTGCTTACTTTATAATAATATATTACAAAAACCTTTAGAAAAATAAGTAAAAAAGAAGAGAAAAACTTGTTTTGTACATTTAAAAATGCCACTGATAAGACGTTTTTAGAACGTGATGATTCTCATGCAAATGTTAACATTATAAAAGGTGTATAGAAAATGTTTTCATTGATTTTGAAGGACTACATTTTAATACTTTGATACAGATATCTGCAGGGACAAGCAGTTATATACTGGTTTGTCATGTCCAAAAAAAGTGACAGCATTTAAATGTAAGGTCATTTGTGAGGAATATTATAATATATAGAATGAGACTTATTCTAAGTGATATTAGCGCTTAGAAAATGTCAAATAAAGGGAAAGTTTATGTTAAGGTCACATGAAGTTACTTATTCTAAGTGCAGAATTAATCATACAGAAATGTGTGTGATATATTAACTTTTAATACATATATATATATAAGTGGTAATTAGAAGCTCTGGCATGTGTTACAAGAAATCATATTGTGTCAAAGATAAAAAATATGGAATAAATGGATGATAAAGTGCTCTTTGTTTTAAATTGATACTGTATATAATCTGTTTTTAAAGAAAACATTCAATTTGTGGAAGAGTTACATTTCAGCATAGATAAAGTAAGAAATGTTCATACTAAAATCATTTTATGTTACAGGATGTGTGTTTGCATGATTTATTTTTCATATAATGTTTGGTGTATATATTAAGGTTAGGAAGTATAATGTTTCAAGTACTTTTATTATGATAACTATTTATGTAAGGATTTATCAATGGTTGATAAACACTATTTACAGCTAATTGTTTGATTATCACCAATTAGTGAATCCAATTAACTTAAAAAATAAAGAAGATTAGTCATTTAAATATACATGTAATAGTTGTTCTTTTCTTTTTTAACTCAGTCACGTAACAGTGTAGGTCATGGCAACATCATTATTATGATTTATTCTTTAAAATACTTAACATACAGTAATATATTATTACTATATTACATTTAATTTGTACTGGTTGTAAATTTACTCAAATAGAAAAAAAAATTAAAGTGACATATCAATTGCTTAAAGTTCAACTTAAATATTGTATAAGCAGCTAATTTTTGGAATGCCATCTTAAGCAGAATTCAACATATAAACATGAAAATGATAAAATTCTGAATTCAGAAACACCTGCAGATGTGTAAAACATGATAATAAATTTAATATTTTCAGATCCTATAAAGAGGGAGAAAGAACGGGAGCGTGAGGAGAGAATTAAACACGCACAGCTGAAACTGAATGAGGAACGTCAACGTAAGATAGAGGAGATGCGGGAGCAGCAACGTTTAGCGCAGGAAAACCGAGAAAAACAGCTAGAAGCCCGCAGGAGAAAGATCGAGGACTTGAAGAAGAGAGAAGAAGAAAGACGTAAACAGGTTGAAGAGAGAAGACGTTTACAAGAAGAGACAGATCGAGTTAGTTATCATCTCTATTATTACATTTATATATTATTATACATACAAGGATCCGTGGCCGAGTGGTTAAGGTTGACTTCAAACCACTTGCCCTTCACAGACAGGGACTTTGGATTCTTTCATGTGCGGGAGCTATCCAGCTAGCTCACAGATATCTGTGGTTCTACTCAGGTTCATGCCTGAAATAATGCACCGAAGGGCACCTGAGTCTTCCTCCACCAGTAAAGCTGGAATGTCCCCAAATGACCTACACTGTGTTGGTGTGAGGTAAAACTCAATCAAACAAACAAACATTATACATACAATATAAGTATTATCTTCTGTCAGTATATCAACTTTCTTAGTGAAAAAGTGCTTAATATTTCCAGGCATCAGAAGTTAATAAATAAGGAATCTTTAATTTTAAATTAAGAAAGGCATATCTTCTATATAATCTTCTAGATAATGATAATGCTTGATGATGATGATGATATTGATTATTATTATCAACAGTGAAATGAACAGTTATAATGGCATGATAATATTTTTAAAGAAACCTTATTTTTAATAAGATTTAATGTATGTGCAAATTAAGGAGTTCATTTACTTCTTATTTCCGTGAAGCTCAATAAAAGTAGGTTTAGCCATAATAGCTGTAAAATGAAGGGAATCTTAGAGATGTGCCTCAGACAAAGTTTAAAAGCAGTTTGTAAGACATTCACCATATACATGACATATTGATTATTAACTTGCATGATGTTTCTTTCTTCCAGGCGAAAAAGGAAGCCATTTTAAGCAAAGCGAAGGAAAGATTGACACGATACGAGCAGTGGAAAGCACATGGTCGTAAAGGTGGGCGCAGACATGTTCTCGGCTTCGGAAGCCGGACACCGCGTGAAGTGTGCTTTACGCTAGATGCAAGACGTTCTTCGTCTCAAAGCACGCTTAGACGCTCCCCTAACAGCTCCGATTATGACTCATACTTTAATCGGCGTGCAGTGTCGGCTAGCAGTGTAGTACGCCGGCACTGTTGCATAGATATTAACAAACTCACTCAGGGGACGGGTACGTTCTGTCTTCTATCTGTTACAACATGTCAATCCAAATTAAATTTTTTCGAATATTTTAAAAATATCAATATATTACTTTTTAAGATAAAAGATTTTAATAAGCTGATATTTATATAAAGAGATATTTCAATTTGTAGGTTAATTTTCACAATAATTTACACATTTTGTACTTTAATTACGAAAGTAATCACTATGATGATCATGTAATTATCTCCCTTTGGTTGCGGAGCTTTGGACCCAGTTTCACCCGTTTTTTAACCAGGTTTTCAATTTTGAAAATCCTGGTTATTAGATTGGGGTATGGCGGGCGGATGGGCGGATGGGCGGCTGGGCGGATGGGCGGATGGGCGGGCGTCAAACGAAATTGTGTCCGCTCTGTAACTCTTCAACCCTTTGAAGAATTTTGATGAAACTTCAGACAAATGTTTACCACATCAAGATGACGTGCAGAACGCATGTTCCGCATGGCTGGCTCCAAGGTCAAGGTCACAGTGACTTTAACATTGAAAATCCTGTCCGCTCTGTAACTTTTCAACCCTTTGAAGAATTTTGATGAAACTTCAGACAAATGTTTACCACATCAAGATGACGTGCAGAACGCATGTTCCGCATGGCTGGCTCCAAGGTCAAGGTCACAGTGACATTAACATTGAAAATCCTGTCCGCTCTGTAACGTTAACATTGAAAATCCTGTCCGCTCTGTAACTCTTCAACCCTTTGAAGAATTTTGATGAAACTTCAGACAAATGTTTACCACATCAAGATGACGTGCAGAACGCATGTTCCGCATGGCTGGCTCCAAGGTCAAGGTCACAGTGACATTAACATTGAAAATCCTGTCCGCTCTGTAACTCTTCAACCCTTTGAAGAATTTTGATGAAACTTCAGACAAATGTTTACCACATCAAGATGACGTGCAGAACGCATGTTCCGCATGGCTGGCTCCAAGGTCAAGGTCACAGTGACATTAACATTGAAAATCCTGTCCGCTCTGTAACTCTTCAACCCTTTGAAGAATTTTGATGAAACTTCAGACAAATGTTTACCACATCAAGATGACGTGCAGAACGCATGTTCAGCATGGCTGGCTCCAAGGTCAAGGTCACAGTGACATTAACATTGAAAATCCTGTTTACATGATTTTAACTTGATTTGGCAGTCAAAGGTCATATCATCTTTGGAGGTAATTTAAAAAAGATATGATATATTATTTCATGTCTACTTTGTAACTTGTTTTTCATTATACAGAATTATCAATATAATTATAGTGAACAAATTCTTCTGTGCTGAACTCGTCCTACATTTCTCAACGGATTTTGTTCAAACTTTCACAGAAGCTTTGTCATCAAGCACCCTGGCACATATTGTCGGGGTTTTGTGATTGGATAGTTTTTGACCTAATTATGGCCCTTTGTTTTTTTCCTTATACATAATATTATAGTGAACACTTCTTCAGTGGCAATTCCTCCTACATTATTCATGTTTTACATTGCACATAGTTACATTGTTTGTTGCTTGTATTTGTATTTCAAATACAACATATTTATCTACAATGGTGATAATTGAAAACCTGGTTTCATGGCATTGCCATGTTTCTTGTCTTCAGTTTTCTTTATTCTTTTATTTTTTTTACCCACAATTTTTTTTTTAAGTTCATTCCAAATTCTGTGTCAAGGAAATAACTTACCTTTTTATCTATAGATTCATGAATAACAGGCAAATGTTGATATTAAGATATCAAAAAATGTCAACATTAATTATTGTCAATATCAATTAAGAAAAAAAACAACAATAATATGTCTCTATAGTGAAATATCAAGCATCTTGATTGATTCTAATGACTGTTGTACTGTACTATAGCATGTTTTATTAAATGTGAAAACATTTTTTTTATCATTTTTGACATGTTGTTTGAATATTCTTATTTCTATCTTTTTGTTTTTCATTGACATTTATATATCACCAAAAAAAAAACTAATTTGGGTGAGCAATTCCACGTCATGTTTTCAGATAAATGTAGCTGTCATAGTTATTAATAAGATAAGAACTTGGGTTAAGATTAGGGGAAGTGCACTATCTCTTGTCCTGAAATACGATTTATTTTAAACCAACGTATTTTTTTTTAAAATTTTATATATAAGATAAATAAGGAAAACAAATTTCATCCAACTTTTAAATGATTAAAAAGAGAAATACACCACTTGCCCCTCACCACTGTAGATTCAAATCCCCACAGGGACTTAGGATTCTTTCATGTGAGGAAGCTATCCAGCTAGCTTATGGAATGTTGGTTGTTCCATTCAGATGCCTTTTTGTGTCTGAAATAATGTACAGAAGGGAACCTGAGGTCAAAATTATTACCAAGTTATCACGGACACATTTTTTGGTGTACATGGAAATGATATTGAAGGTGTTGATACAAATGACAATGTTTTCTATTTTTACATTTATCTGAGAACATGATCAGTATATTTTCAATAATCACATGTTTGTAGTGTTTTGCTAACACATATTATACAATATAAAATAACGCTAGATATTTGTAGTGAGTGTGTGCGCGTTAAGTGTGATGAAACAATATATGAAATTTTTTTTTCTCTACACTCTGCACTGATGGTTTGTTTGTTTTCTTCCCTAAATGAGCCACTTCACAACAAAACCAATGTTATGCGTTTGTGACCAGCATGGATCTAGACCAGCCTGCGCATCCGCACAGTCTGATCAGAATCCATGCTCATCGCCATCAGTTTCTTTATTTGTAATAGGGTTTGTAAGCGAACAGCATGGATCCTGATCAGACTGCGCGGCTGCGCAGGCTGGTCTGGATCCATGCTGGTCGCAAACCCATTACGTTGGTTTTGTCGTGATGCGGCTCAAATGATTTCTCTAGTTTTTGTTCCTTTTTTTATTTTTTCTCTCTCCTTCATACAGCTCGACAAGATCCATATGGCGGAACTTTGTACCGATATTTCAGTACCTATTTTATAAGTATGAAATCCTCTTCTCAGCTGAATGGCTTTAAAGCACGGATTTGTCGTCGTTAGTAGGCATTTAAAGTTGCTTTCGTCTTTCTTATGGTCTTTCTTTGCTTTTAATCTCATCTCTAGGTATTGTCAGGGGTTTTAATTCAATGTGTAGGCATGCTTTTTGATAGTGTGTGGGCTAGGGTACAATTGGGGACTTGTTTATCTTTGGAGGTTACATTGTTACTTCAGTTATATAAACATGTTTAATTTGTTACTTCAGTTATCAAAATGTTTAATTTACCTTTTATGTTACTTTTTAATTTGTCTTTAAACATGGAGTTTGGTTGTCATTGAGTATATATGATTTTATAAGTTTTTTTACTTAGATATGATTTTATTTGTATAACTAATATTGTTCACTGTTTAAAGTCTTTAAGATTGGACTGAGAAAATATAAGATGTAAAAAGTAATACACAAAGTCTGTATGAAATAAATGTTTAGCCGATCAAGAGTACAGAATGGCTTGTTGTAGTAGTTTAATGTTCGGTTTGACAGCAGTGCCAAATGTTCTTAGTCAAGTTTATGTGTTCAAACTTCAGTTATAATTTTAGTAGGCTTATGTTTGTTAGAATTCTTGTCTAAATGGTCACCAAATAGTGAAATTATGGGAAAGTAGAGATGTGTATGTTTGGAAAAAAATCTTTGTGTTATTGAGCACTGTTCTCCATTAACTCCATTAACTGTTCTTATTTCTATGTTGTCTTTCTTTCTCAAACTTTACGCTATATATAATAGCTTTCACTATAACTTGTAGCCATTTGCAGCTTTACTAACCCAACAAAACTATTTCAGTTATTTTACTACTAATAAATACTGGGATTTTATTTTATTTCCATCCAATATAAGCCACAAAGTTTATAAGATGTAAAACTTTTTGTCCTGTCAAAATTGATAATGGAATTTTTATTTAGTTTATAATTTCATGAATCGTTTCTCACTTGATATTTTCGATTCTTTATGAGGCGAAATTTTTCTGTGTTAAATGATCTCGAACATTGGTGATTAAATTGTCTCCCGCCACTGATTCAGAAATCAGTGAGGTAAGTAGTCGTTCATTTGCAGAGAAATTGGTTGTAACTGGTTAGTTATCCAGGACAGTCTGCTAGGTGGACCGACTACTGACTCCAGATATGTTGACATTGGCATAAAAAAACAACAAATAAAACAAACGTGATGTTTGTGTCCTCTTTGGGTTAATTGGATGGAAATAATGAGTTAATGTGATCTAGAAATTGACCCAAGTATGAAAATCAATGCTTTAAGCCTTTCAACTGCATTGTTTACCTTATTGCACACAGCTTTATGCAAATTTGATTTATTTTCTCATAAACTTTCAACTATCAAGATTTTTAAGGCGTTTTTCTTGCATAATAATCCATAATGTAAACATTTGTTTTTAGTTAATATTAAGTTTTGAAGAGATCTTATTAGATTGTCATGTACTGATCTAAATATTTATTTTATCCTTATTAATCACATAATATTATGCACATGATTTTTATGCATCTTCAGTTCTATTATGATTTTTTCCCCATGTGTATTAAGACATCAAGTTCATATGGGATAAGATGTTATTGTATTTTATAATAAAGTGTGGGGTTCAGAATTGGGGACATTTAGAATATCAGCTGAGATTTTAGATTGCTTTATAGGGTACTTATAACAAGAGATTTATATGTCATGTGATAATGATACTAGGAAAATGACGGAAAGGGAAAAGCACCTTTTTATTTTGAAAATTCTAAAAAAAATTTAGCATCTTTATTATCATTAGTATGTTGAGATGAACTTGAATGTCTTGTTGACACAGGGCATGATTTTATAGTCACCATATTGTTGCATTATTTTGTTGCATGGTCGTGCATTATGTTGTGACATTGCTTATATCTATTGTGAACAGGTTACCCCGGGGAATCCCCACCCTCCAAAAAATTATCAGTGTCTATGAGTGCCTTGTATCATAAACGCAGTCCCGATTTCTCTTCTACTGGTGCCCTGCATACAAAGGGTTCAAGCAACCTTAAAAAGGACGGGGCAGAATCCATGATGGGTAAGGGAATTAACTGCCTTTTTCTTTTAACTTTCTTTTATTGTATCAACCTCCTTATGAATGCAATGTTCAGCATATTTAATATACCATGTTATAGAATTGCCTTGGAGCAGAACTGTTTTAACTGCATGAAGATGAATAAATTGTTGTAACAGTGTTACACCAAGGCACCATTACGACTACATGTTCAGCTCTAGGCTAGCAGAGACTTGTAAATGCATCCATGTACATAGCCAGGCCAGCCTGAACATGTGGACTGTCTGACAGTAACCAAACTTTATACTGGTGGCTGCTCAATATTCTGAATTCACCTCAGCTAACAATAGACTGTTCTGAAATTTAACCCTAATCCAGCTGAATTTCTTGAATGGAATTGCCCAACTTCAGTTTTTGGAACTGTCCACTATCAATTTTGAGGGATATAAAAGATGAAAATTTGAATTTGGTTAGCCAACAGTATAGTGTTTGGCCCTACTACATAGAAAGGCAAGCTGGCCTAGCTCTATACTGGTGGCAAAAGACAATTCACTTCCAGTTCCATCAGGGTAAGGGTTATGTCGGGACTTTGTCCATTACACAAATTCATCCGTGTTAGAAGTGAAATAGCAAAATTTTCTATGCTAACTTGTGTTCTTAAGGAGGTTGAACAAATTTAATTCTTTATTTTTGCTTGAAGTAATTTTCTGTTTCACTCCTTGTAAAGCATGTTCCTCGTATTAGTTTAAAACAAAACAGCATTTTATTGTAATGAAAATGTTAAATATTCTATTCTAACTAAAGATTTATTGCTGTTATAAAGTAATGTGCATGACAGGTTAATTGACCAGTTATAATCATATACTTGTTGAATGATATAATATGATAAAATGTTGTACTCTTGGAATTTATATATCGCTAATTAAATTTTGTCTGAAATAGACTCTTGTCAGGAAAATTTGAATAATTTGAAAATTTGAATTAAATTTTAACAACCTGTATTTATGTCTTGGTTTTAAAGGAAGGAATTAATTGGTTAGATCTGATGACAGTGTACAACATTTTACTATATTATTTTATTCATATGCATGTAACATATATAATACTTTATTTAATATACAGCAAGCTGTTTAATGTTAACTGTCAGCCGCTGAAACCTCATTGTCTATTAGCTTAATTTTTTCTCCCCCTGTCCCTCAAATAGTAGGAAAAAAATAAATAATTTTAAAAAGAATGAAAAGTCCTACATTTTATATAAGTAACAAGGGGCAGTTAGAGTGGATAGGTTGCCTCCCTATGCTTTTGAACAATTTTTATATTTAAAAAAAAATGCAAATTGTGTGAAATTTTAAATTTATAGCAGCCTAAAAGGCCTGAAACTTACAATAACTATTTACTTTAGATTTATATATAAAAAATGCTGTCTATTGAGTTTACTAAAGTTTCAGAACCTGCCATATATACATGTTTAGTTAAAGCAATGGTAGTAGTACCATGTATTCACTAACATCAGAAAACAAAATATATCCAGAGGGATATCTGGTACTTTACTTCACGACTGTCTGCCATGGCAAACTCACTGAAGAGAGTGTTGTTTGTATGTTTTATTTATGAGAGCACATGTTGAATTTTGGCTTGCCTAAGGTATTAATGGCTCTAGATGATCCTGGCATAGGTATCATACACACCATAATGTCATATATAAAGACCTCTTAATGAATAAAAATGTACATCTATTGTAACTCAATACCATTATTGCTTTTATTTCAATGAAATTGGGTCAGATTTGTTTGATATTGAGACAAAAATTAATTTCTATTTTGTGTAACTTTAGTAAAGCTAATTCTTTGTTATTTGAGAAAGCAATATAATAGAAGTTGATTTTAATCAGAAGTCTTCCTAATACTGTAGTAATATAAGGAGCATAGTAGTTAACCATTACTGTGCTAAATTTCTTAAATAATCTTGTCCATTTCAACCTTTCATCATTTTTCGAGAAAAAATTCAAAATAATAAACACTGACTGATGTGGAGACTGATCTTTGTCTGCGCTGATCACATGAATACATTCAGTTGCCATGGAAAGTTAAGATTCCAACCTGTGGCCCCTTGTGTCTACTGGCAAACACTTGAACCATTAGGCTACAACTACCAATAAATGTAGCTATAAGATGATGTATATGGTATGAGGCTGACAGTTAACAGACTACAGGCTGACATGTTTTGCTGTCTGTAACAGACATTGCATGTATACAAGCTTATTGATTTCCTTCATTTCCTTCATTATAACTATATGGTGTTATACTCTATACATTATTCATGGTATAATCACTTTATTATCTGCATGGTCACCTTATATATTATGCATTCATTGTAAATAGAAATCTATATTTTGCTGTCAATGACAAGGTTGTTTGTTTATGACAATGACATGGAAGAAAATAAACATTACAAAACATGCATCATATTATATTGTCCACAAACTTGTAATCTTCCATTTTGTAAATGAGTTTTTAAAGTTCCACAAATCATAGTTGATAAATATTCAAACTGTATTTCACCTTTTAGGGGTCAAGGTCACTAAGTCTTTAAAACTATAAAAAAAGTAACTAGAAATTAAAAGGGAATAATTTTATTTTTGAATGAGATAACTGGATTACAAGTAAGTTATTCGAGGATTAGATATTGATGTTAAATTATGCTTTACTAGGGTCAAGGTCAAACTTGATACAATTATGTATTCTCATTAAATTTATGTGGTTGGGCTGTTCCAACAAGTTTAATGTCACATCTAATGTCACAAACAAACATTCTTGAACTTGACCTTATTATTACAACTGTGTAGATTATACATTAGCATATCTGAGTTTGGGGTATGGAAGAGAGCTTTTTTTTTATTTATTTAGCAAGGTTATTCTAGCTTGCTTACCCTTTCATTGTGTCTAGTATCATTGTAATGATTTGATGTTGTAACATTGTCAATGCTAACATGTCATGCTGGTGCATTTTGTGCATGTTCAAGTAAGTATGGAGACATATCTATATATACCCAAAGGTGGTGGCAAATATGTATATTAATACTGAGAAAAAATACAAAAAACGTTTTATACAAAAATATTAATAAAGTATTTTTTTCTTTTCTTTTTTCCCCCCTTACCTTTCAATCCTTTACAATTCACCACCACCACAACATCATTTCCATCATTCAACATGGGGGTTACATTTTGACCTTTCACCTCACACGAACATGACCACCAATTACTGGATCCACAGCTCTCCATTCCATTCCCGAAAACCGACTTGGCCGCTCTATTGTAGCCTCCGCACCTCCCACAAAGCATAAAAGCGCAGTGAATCTAGCAGGCGTGAAGATGAGAGACCCGTCAAAGACGTCACCACGGAAACCACGACCATCTAGTGTAGCGACCTCTATGCCAAGTTTCGTAAGAGTTGAGACTGATTCGCCGAAGTCACGAAGTAAAAGTACAGAAAGAGGTCCAAGAGGTATATTATATACTATAAATATAGGACGCTATTAAAATTTAAATAGATTGATGTTCTTCATGATGTCCCTTGATGATAAATATTATATAGATTTTGTTCCTTGAAAAAAGGTTGTACATTGGGCCAATTTGGGTGGTCTGGGGAAATAAATAAGATGGGTTTCGGTTTAAACCAATGTGTCATTCTTAGGGAATGCAGTCATGATCTCTGCTATTGAATTAATGTGAGCAAATATAATATGCTAAAAGTTGTGTTTGATATACTATTTATGGAAACCATTAATTGCATAACTAACTAAAAGGTGCAAATATCATCAATAGATGTATTGTCATAGCAAAGAAACTTGAAACAAAAGTAATTAGGAAGTTGACTTTTATTACCATTAAATGTTATGTATAGATACATGTTTTATCATCATTCCTATATTTATTACAGATCGTAGTAAAGGAAGAGTTTCTATAAAGACCGATGATGATAAAAGTGATGGCAAGGTAAATAATAATGTAGATAACACATATTTATGTGTAAATAAAATAGTAAAGGTGAGGAACACACATACAACACCAGGTCAAGTTTCAAGATTTTATTGGCTATTAGTTTCGATTTATATAATACTGTGTAAATAGACAAGAATGATCTAAAAACAAACCTTGAACTGTTGTTTGTTGAGTCCCATATATTTAACAAGAGCACCGCTAGGCGGAGCATTATATGCCCGAAAGTGTTTTTTTTTAGTAAGGATGAAGCATTCATTAGACATGGGAATTAGCTGTTCATCCTATAAAATTTTACAGATGTAGGTTGATTAATACTTAAGTCCTTAACCTTAACCTTTGACCTTGTGACCCTAAAATCAATAGGGGTCTTCAACCTTATATGGACAATCATCCTATGAAGTTTGAATATGTGGGTCAAATGGAACCTAAGTTATGCTCCGGAAACTGTTTTCAGTATCAAGGTAATAGTGACTTGACCTTTGACCTTTTGACCCCAAAATCAATAGGGGTCTTCTACCTTATATGGACAATTAACTTATGAAGTTTGAACATTGTGAGTCAAATGGAACTTAAGTTATGCTCCGGAAACTGTTTTCTGTATCAAGGTAATAGTGACCTTGACCTTTGGCCTTGTGACCCCAAAATCAATAGGGGTCTTCTACCCAATATGAACAATCATCCTATGAAGTTTGAACATTGTGGGTCAAATGGACTTAAGTTATGATCCGGAAACTGTTTTCAGTTTCAAGGTAATAGTGACCTTGACCTTTGACCTTGTGACCCAAAAATCAATAGGGGTCTTCTACCCAATATGGACAATCATCCTATGAAGTTTGAACATTGTGGGCCAAATGGAACTTAAGCTATGCTCCGGAAACCAAATTGCTAACGGACAAATTGCTAACAGACGGAAACTATTTTCAGTATCAAGGTAATAGTGACCTTGACCTTTGACCTTTTGACCCCAAAATCAATAGGGGTCTTCTACCCAATATGGACAATCATCCTATGAAGTTTGATAATTGTGGGTCAAATGGAACTTAAGTTAGGCTCCGGAAATTGTTTTCAGTTTTAAGGTAATAGTGACCTTGACCTTTGACCTTTTGACCCCAAAATCAATAGGGGTCTTCTACCCAATATGGACAATCATCCTATGAAGTTTGAACATTATGGGCCAGATGGAACTTAAGTTATGCTCCGGAAACCAAATTGCTAACGGACGGAAACTGTTTTCAGTATCAAAGTAATAGTGACCTTGACCTTTGACCTTTTGACCCCAAAATCAATAGGGGTCATCTACCCAATATGGACAATCATCCTATGAAGTTTGAACATTGGGGGCCAAATGGAAGTTAAGTTATGCTCCGGAAACCAAATTGCTAACGGACAAATTGCTAACGGACGGACGGACGGACGCCAGGGGGTATAACATAATATGCCCTTTCGGGCATATAAAAAGTATTTGAACATTTTAAGTACATGATGTTGTGATCTGTTACACAGCTATGTCAAACCATGTCTGTAATATGTGATGGAAGATTTTCATCAAGTTAAGATGGCCGAAGGTTGTACGTGGATGCCTTTGCTTGATTAATTTATACACAGCAACAAATTAGGTTTTCCTGTACCAGGGAATGTGTTAAGTCATATGATTGTTAAAATCTCTGTGTCCCAACTTTCCCTCCCCACTTGATAGTAAAGCTGGAAAAATTGAACATTTACTACCCAGTATGTTGATGTGACTCACTACCCACCAAAAAGAGTAAACATATATTCTTATTTGGAATGTAAAACATACAAACGTTTGGTGATGTTGTGCTGAAAGCTGGGCAGCCATTACCATAAAAAGCATAAGTAGATAATTTCTTTATTTCATACAATTACAGGACAGGAAAGCAGCAACTCTTCCGAGACCTTATGATAGAAAGAAGATAGAAGAACGTAGACAGGAAGTCAAGAAAAAGACGGAGGAAAGGAAAGAACGAGAGAAAGAAAAAGAAAGGATGACAAAATCAGAAATACAGCAAGATTCAAAAGAAAAGGAGAAGCCTCCGCCCAGAATGTCAAGGTCGTTCGTGGAGAGAATGTCGGCTCCCAAACATCCATCAGCTGAGAATAAGAAGGAACCAGTGCGAGAGTCAACACCCGTCAAGGTATGTATGCGAGTTTCTTTACTAATTGATCAGGCATTTCAAGAATTTTTATATGTGATTCTGGACACATCAACCTGTGATTTTGTTTGACATATAAAGCCAATGTTGAAATTATCAATGTAGCTTCAGCTTACAGGATTTTGCTCAAGCATGAAATGGTTTGGTTATTAATGATTTTTTCTTTAAAAAGAGAAAATTGATTTTGTTTGAATAACATGTTTAAGAATGTTGTGATAATTAACCTATCATAAATATTAACATTGTGATTATGAATGAGAAGTGTCACTATCATTGCAAGGCATGCTGGTGCATTTGTTACAGGTTACAAGAAGAAGTGGCCCAATAGAGGCCCCGGTATCTGCTAAACAGGTATACAATGTGTTACCTTGGTTACAGCTTACACGGTCATGTGACTTATTACATTGACTTAAGGATTTTAAAAAATACAAAATATTTAATGTTGGTGAAATTGTTCTAATTTTTTTATAAAGGGCACTCAAGGTCTTCCTGTCTACCAGTAAAGCTGGAAAGTCTCCATATTACTTTTACAGTGTAAGTGTGACTTAAAATCCAAACAAGCAAATAATGAATTCCCATGTTTAGCCAAAGGTTATTGACCTTTACTACAATCAATTTCTATTTTTAACTTGCTCTGCTTTGACCTTAGAGCTGTCCACTGTTAATTTTGGGATATTCAGTATCAAAGAGCCAAGGATTAAGAGTCCAGTTAGATTGCTTGATGGGCAAGTTTGCCTGGCTCTATATTGGTGAAAACGGTAAAGGTCTGTTACTGTCACCTCCAATAATTAAAGGGTTATTGATAAAGCAGATATTGATTGAGATGTTAAATTAAAGAACAAAGGGATATCTGATGGTAGTGAATGAAGAAAGGTCAGTCATACTAAAGACAAATCAGGATAAATCATAGAGCCATCAGATAGGAACATTGTATGAGGTTACTGATAGATTGATGCCACATTCAGGACACAATCATGATATAGTTTATAATAATATATACACTGGGTACATATCTGCCAAGGTGTAATTTCGACAAACCTAATCTTTTTATGAGATGTAAAAATCATGTTTTATCAGCCAAAGCGATTTTTCCCTCGTTTAAATAAGGAAGCAGGTACTAGGACCTTGAATTTAGGTTACAAATGTTTCCTGTAAAAACAAATAGAATAAATAAGCATATAACATACTATTAACTAGGTAAGTCAATGTTTGAATTCACATGACCCTGGTTTGGCTCTTGTTTAGGGCATTTATTGAGGGTTACACAACCAGTGGCTGTATAAATACATATATACATGTATGACCTTGATTAAACTATACTGATCTATCATGTATATCTGTATAATTAACTAACATTGCCTACTAATCAAGTCAAATTAAATTGTTCATATCTCATCATTTTTGCAGTGAGATTTAAGAACTTAATTTACATTAAAAGCTTTGGTCACTAGGTCTTTAAGTCACCAAGAAATTAGTTTAGATGGGAAAAAATGTTTCCCATTTCTTTCATATTACATTCATTATCTATTCATGTTTTATTAGAAGACAGAATGATACAAGAATAAATACATGAACTCACTACTGTTAGTGACTTATAGCACAGTACAAGTTCTTAACTTACTGAGTACATCCAGAAATTAGGACAAAAAGATTTGGATCTCCAAGAAAGAGATAATAATGTTTCAACCTAATAGATCTAAAATTTCTGTTTCTTTAGAAAAATACACACTATGTAGTAATGAATCATCTTATCTTTTAATTGGTAATTTTACCATCAAGTAGCAAATACAAAAGATTTGTATCTGTATAGAGAAATAACCTGACACGATCAATGTTTCTATACTCTGTAAATTACTGTACACGGTTAAAGGAAAAAGGTTGATGACACATGCTGATATGATGATTTCCACCTTAATGCTTCCATGATGTCATTAATGCATTAATGCATGTTAAAGTAACGATTGGTGATGGAATTTATATATTAGAGAAAGTGACAGAGTTTATTCAGAGAATTACAGTATATGTACATATATAATATAATTCACAATGGATGAGATATATTTATGTAGGACATATATTTATTATAGACACTAACAACATATTATAGCCACAAGGTTAGTTTAAATATATTTATTTAAGCTTTATAAAAAAAAAAAAGGTGTAAGCTTATACATGTAGTAATCCTTCCAGAGTTTGCTGCCTTGTCTAATCATTACCAATGTAGGGTATTTATATATTGATGTTTCCGCACTAAGCAGCAGGCTCAAATTTGTGATTCTTAGGGTGGCAAAAAGTGAACACCTTACTATCAGGCAGTCAGTTCACAGTTAACATGGCACAAGCTTAATTGGCTAAACATAATTAGATTTTGATTGGCTTTTGAGATTTGTATATATGATAATATTGTATGTGTGTGTGTTCTCTTAAAGCTGCTAATTAGGAAGCGACCAACTAAATACACTGTAAGATGTGTTCATATTTGTCATGTTTTATATTGTCATTGTGGCATGCTGGTATTTTACACTTTGTTAATACTTTATATTGATATTTTCAACCTGCCCACCCTATTTTACTTATATTGAATGTTCCTGAATGACTGGATCTTAATGTATGATAATAGGATTGGTTCATCTCATTATCACATTAAAGGTAAAGGTCACAGATTACAACAAGCAGAGTGAGGCATGCTTTTTATCAAATGACAAGTGAAAGTTTTATTTTGATTTTTATCTTCTATTCATACAGTGATATATAAAATAGGTAATGTCCTTAATTTATCTTTAAAGAAAACCCATTTTTTAAAGATCAATATTTGTTACTAATGCATTACCATGATGCTTAATGTATGTGCACTGGATTGTCTGAATCTACAGTGGTAGAATAATCAAGTCATGTGTGCTTTTTTGCGTTTAAAGATTTGATAATTATTTGACTTTCAAATATAGTTTTAAATCAAGTTTTGCTACTGCTAAATATGTACCTACAAGGCTCTTTAGCTTAGTTATCATGTACGGCATACTTCATTTTGTTGTGAATTTGAACATCAGACTTGGACCTGTAAGTAACAAACTAGTCTTTGTATAAAGCAAGAGGCATAAGAAATTCCTGTTTCATATTTTTCCACTTTCATTTTTCTAGAATATTTGAGACTTGTCCTGGTATAGATTGCAAGAAGAAGCACTATACAACTGTGTTTAGAGTGATTCTGTTTGATATTGTAAAATTTTATTGAGTAAAATTTGTCATTTTCCTAGAACATTTGATGTTTGCTTGATTGTATAAATAAATGATCTCAAGGTGATTTACAGATTTGAAGGTGAAGGTCAGGCTGTAAATGTCAAGGATTATAAAGTTGTTAAGAAATATTACCTTTTACAGGTATAATTGATATTGGCTAATGAAGTGATTGGTGATATGAGATGTAATATACGACGTCGTGTTTTGCAGCACAATTTGATTGTTTTCATTTATTACTTTTTTTCTGTTTTAAGACAAGTGCAAGAACAATATAATGGGAAAAAATGTCCCAGGCCCGTCAGGGGCAAGCAGTTGTTTCTGTGAGCTAGAAACTTCATACTCATTACTTTACTAAGTACTGGTTGGTTCCAGGAATGGATTGGAGAGTGTGTCAATAAGTTTATAGCTTGCAACACAATCAAACTATTAGTTAAATAAATTTGTATAAAACTAAATGATAAAATAAATTGGCTTCCATATTTTATTTGTTTATTTGGTAATAAGGACAGTCTTCTAATAGTTTTTAAGTCAGCATAATTAGCATTTGGAAAAAAAGAACCTTACTCTTGTTATAAAGTTTTTTGTTGAAAATTTCCTATTATATTTATTATTATAGACGGAGTTTAGTGTATATCTTGCCTTAAGGAAACACCAGTATATTGATCTGCACTTGTCTTGTCATTTCTTGTTTTGTTGTTCTGTTATTGGGGATAATTCTGTGCAATTGTTTTAAATGCAACCTTGAGTTTAGCTTCAGTAATACATTTTATTGTGACTCACATTTGCCCTAAGTTCAATAATCATAATTAAGATGTAAACATGATATAGTAATTAAAACATCTGACATTTAAATATGTGCTTGTAAGCGATTGTTTTACAACATTTGATAATTTAATATCTGATATTAAATTGAATTAAAGGTTAAATAATGGTATATGATTTACTGATGGATGGTAAAATTGTGATGCATCTGAGTAAACCCTCATCCATTTAAAAAAAAAAACCGAAACAAATATGATTTAAAAAAAACAACTTATATTTGACTCAGGTTTGATTTATATTAATCTGAACAGCTTAAAAAAGCCTAGTGAAAATAGAGGAAAACAATCTCATTTTCAGACAATGGAATATTGAATGAAAAAAGTGATAGGTATTTGGTGTATTGAATTGCCTGTATGTATTGAATAGATAACGATGAGTCATGGAGATATATATATGTGGTAGTCTGTTACTGGAGATGATAAGTCCCTGGTGTCTGCTTCATAATCAATGTAATGTAACTACAGAGACACTCAGGTCTATACACTGTATATATCAGGGAAAAATATCATTCAATTATTCTCTCTTTTCTATTGTTTTAATAGAGAGAATGTGATGCTCAGACGTAATGAAATTGTAGGGTAGAAATATATATTTTTTTTCAAGTCTGTTGTATGATGTAATTAACACATATGATGGTTATACTGTAGTAAATTAAATTAAGAAAGCTGTAGCGTTTATGAGAAAATTTTTGTCTGATCCAAACTTTAAACCTCTGGAAACACTTCCTTGTTCACAGTTAGACAGACATAGATGGCAACATGTAGACAATTTATCAAATGTGAGAAGGGAGATAAATCTATAGTAACTCTTCATTCTGGTTAAACAGTATGGCAGGGACTTTCCTGATGCAAATTATGATAAAGTATAGAAATACAGCATTTGGAATTGTTAATATTCTATAATTTAATGATATAAAGTTTACTGATATATATATTACAGGCAAAGACTCCGGTGAAAGACAAGCCACCAAAGGCACCCAAAGAGTCACCTATCAAGAGTGCCCTCAAGAGCGCAGCAAAAGAAGACTCCTCTGATACCAAATCAGATTCTTCAAAATCTGTTAGCCCCGCCCCCTCAGGCACACCTCCAGCTAGAGGAACGCCCACAATACAAGTTGAGGAAGCTGGAGGTTGGTCATGCTTCATATTTTATATTTCTTAAATTTATAAAATGCTAAGACGTGTTGCAATATAATTGTACCTGCTTGATATTTGTGAAGCATCATAAAATGATATTACAGTAGTTTTCCTTAATATGATAGTATCATACCATTATCTTATAAATTGTATAGCAAGAGAAAAATTTCAATTTTTGAATACTTAGAATTGTAATCTTTGAACACAAATAGTTTCAATTTATTGTCTATGCCACCAGTGTACAGACATACCAACCTGAGTAGTTTGACAAGATTCTGAAACTACGAAAATGCTAAATTTTTGTAAATTTGATACTGCACTAACAATTGACATTTCCAGAGTCAAAGCATAACAAGTACATTGTTAAATTGTTTTGAATAAAACAGACATGAAAATGTAATTATAACATTATTGATCACATTCTGTTTTAATTAAAATCCAACGTGAATAGATTAAACCACATATTGTTCTTTCACAATGACATTCTATATACAGTCTAACTTGCCCATGCGACCACGTGTATTAAGCGACTTTTGTCTTAAACGACCACTTCAAATTCCCCCCGATCATTTTCTCTCTATATTTTTAATGTATTAAGCGACTTTTGCTCAACGCGACCAGCGACCGCTAAATAGTCACCTAATTGAGAGCAATTTTTTTATTAAACGACCACTTTTACCTGTCAAGTAATTGTGTTTTTAGAGAACGCCGCCTCGTAATTTCACAAGTGTCAACAATCAAAACACAACAAATAAATGTGTGAAAAACTCTATTTCCCAAACCGTTTTAGCGTAAGCAGTATACGTGTGACGTGTATTATCCAATAATATCGATTAAACAATGCAACGCTCCGCCCCTACTGATGTGGTGTATACGCTTCGCTTGTTGACAATTAGACTGCATTGAATTGACCTTGAACTTGATCAGCAATTAAATTAGATGTATTTTGTTTATTTCGAATGAAAAATGCACGACAGAAAAAACATCCTCACTAATAGGGTTTTCGTGTTGGAGACAAGGAAAAGCAACGGAGAAGTTAAAAAATCTGGAAAAAATGTCAAACATGTACGTAATGGATCAAAACTGTTTTATAAACAAATAACAGAAAGTTATTTTTACAGATTATCGAGCGTACTAATTAGTGAACATTTAAAATATAAAAATGAAGTTGTTTAACATTTCCACCGCATAAGAAAGATGTCATTTGTAAATTTTGACTTTTATGTCATGCTTTGTCTTAAGAGACCGTTTCATTAAGCGACCATTTTGGGTGTTTCCCTTGCGCGGTCGCTTAATACAAGTTTGACTGTATTGTTTTATTTCAGAGTGCTTGTAATAAAAGCATTGTGAAGGATATTAAATAGTTAAATTTATCCTTGTAGAAGTTCCAGTCACTGTTGAAGGTGAGGAACCAGCTGTGAAATCTGAGAGCCCAGAACCAGAGGAGCGCAGGGAACCAGTTGTCAGAATCACTGAGCCGGACATCTCAAGATCTCCTCCGAGAACTAAACCCGAGGCCAAGCAGCCAACACCGGAACCGAAACAGTCGACACCGGAGCCTAAAGCAGCACCTAAAGCTGATAAACCGAAGACCGACAAGGAACGTGAGATGGAAGAATATAAAGCTAAGTTGGCAGAGAAGAGAAGACTAGCCAGAGAAAAGGCAGAACGTGAGGCTGAAATCGAACGTCTTAAACAAGAGGAATTGCAGTAAGTCCATCTGTTTACCATTTCATTAAATGTGGGAAGTTAGTTATCACATTAAATGTTTACATATTATCCCCTGGCATTATTTCTGATTTATATTACATCTTCAAGAAGCATTTTTCTTACAAAAGGACTGTTTTGCTGATTTTCCATTTAGAATGAAAGTAAGGTATTATTGAATTCAGCTTGTAAATTCTCCAGCTTTCTTGGATTGTTGAAAGAGAAGATGTTGTAAGGGAATGTGTTAAGACTGTAAATGAACCTCCATTAAATGAACAATAAAAGTTATGCATTGGGATGACTGATTATATTGAATGTATAAAATTTAAACATATTACCAGTGTTGTTAAGTAATATACCTTTATCTTGCAAGCATTTTTATCTATAACTGCCTTGGGGCGTCTGTGGCCAAGTGGTTAATGTTGTTGACTTCAAACCACTTGCCTCTCACCACTATAGGTTCAATCCCGGCAGGGACTTTGGATTCTTTCATGTGACGAAGCTCAGGTGCCCGTTCGTGCCTGAAATAATGCATGGAAGGGCACCTGAGGACCTCCATCAGTAAAGCTGGAACGTTGACCTGTACTGTGTCAGTGTGACGTAAAACCCAATCAAACATACAAACAAACATCTTTAACTGCCTGTTTATTTTAGGCGTCAGGAAGAGGAGAGACAGAGGTTGGAGGAGGAGAGACAGCGGAGGGAAGAGGAGGAGGCTCTGAGGCTTGCAGCTGAGGCTCGACAGATTGAGGAGGAGAGGCTACAGAAAGCTATTGAGGCTGAGGAGAAAAGAAAACGGGAAGAGGCTGAGAGACAAGAACAGGATAGGATTGCTGTACGTTAATATCTTATTTTATAATGTTACAATCTGTATTGGTACTAAAGGGCAAGAAATATATACAAAATGGGTTTTAAATCAGTTCATTATGTCACCTAGTTTCCAGTAGGGTTTTCCTGCATGAAATTTTGTAAAATTTATAGATAACAAGATCAAAGTTTTGAAAAATCAGTGTTTGACATTTGATAACACAGTCTGATGTCAGGTCTTTGAGACCGAGACACAAATTCTCTCTGTTGATAAATTAATGATGAAATAATAAGTAAAACAGATGTAAATTTCTGCCATTGTCAATATCCAATGGGTTTAAGACTTTCTAAAACTTAATTAACAAAGTGTTGACTTGATATATTCATGTATTGATGACATTATTTCAATGTGTTACAGAAAGAGGAGGCCGAGAAGAAAGCAAAGGAAGAGGCGGAGAAAAGAGAGAAAGAGATGCAGGAACGGGCTCGTAGAGAGGAAGAAGAACGTATAGAGAGGAAAAAGGTAATATTATCAAGTCTTACATGTAATATACACATACAGTACATTTGTTTTGTTTGAAAGTGATAATTGAAATTATATCTTGTTGAAGGGATAGACTTCTGTGCTTTATTATTCAGACAGGTAACTTAAAATGTACCTTTATGAAGTTATATCTATCTACTAATTTTGTCAACAAGTGGCATCTCCTAACATGTAGCTTTGGTCTTAGCGGCCAAAGGGTTTATATTTATATAAACAAAGCTGTAAGGTAGTGTTTTTACCAGAGAGAAAGAATGTTTGTATGAGAGGTAGCTATCCAGCTAGCTTATCTAAAAACAGTGGTGCTCATTGTATGTTAAGTATTTTACCCTGCTTCTTTTCTGCAATTAATTTTCCCTGCTTTTAAGTTTCAAACTCAATATTAAGATTTTATAGTAAATTAAGCCAAATCCTCAGACTTGGATTAGACTGTATGAATGTGCAAGTAGGCCTTGTGTGCTGATACTGGTTCAAGTCGAGTCAAAAAAACTTATAAAAAATTACCTAATCTCAAACTCAGATCTCAGGTATTTGATTGGTCAGAAACAAGCATAGAATATGCACTGACCAATGAAAATCGTGAGATTTGAGACATATCTGAGAGAAAAGTTTAATAATCTTCAAGCCCAGGGTTATAGACAAGTCTTTATCTTAATGAATATTTGGAGGATAAATTGATTATTAATAATTTAATGATGTTCTTTTCAGAGGTTAGAGATGATAATGAAGAGAGTTAAAACAGACAGTCCAAGTTCTACACCTGAGAAAACTAGGGTATGTTTGTTATCATATTGTGAACTAATTTGTGAACTAATTTATGAACTTAGTATGAACTAATTTATAAACTTATTATGATAATGTGCTAAGTAGTTGTTTGCTATGAGTGACTTTGAATTTACATTTTGTATCTCCTCCTAAAAAAAGGATAAGTGAACAACTTCGAACGTAGAAATTCATTTTGAACTTGAATACCTTACTCTTGATAAAAACATTGATATCACTTTGGAAAATGATGAAATTTTTCATTAGTATTGTTTAATGAATTGATATTGTATGTAACATAAAACACATTAGTAAATATAATTTTAAGTATTTTGTGGAAAGTCATTATTCCATGTCCTTCAGCTGACAGATTTATATTATTAATTGCTCTGTGTCTGATTAATAATGAAACATTCGTATCATTATCAAATATTCAAATTCATATGAAAGTAAACTTTTTATTTTTGCACATTTGTCTATTGACCGCCTCCTTGGTCGATGACTTCTAATCCAGTTACCTATCTGGCGTGGCTTCGATCCCCGTGAGATGCTTTTGTAGTTTAGCACAGAGGAAGGTAGTCTAGTACTGGTGTAACTCTCCACGAACGATGGTTAGGAAACTACCCGCCTATATGACTGAAATACTGTTGGGAAAAGGCGTAAAATGAAACAAACAAACTCTAAAATTGATATTGCTGAAATTCCTCCTTTTATCTTGCATTAAAAACACCCAATAGTAAATTAGTTTATTCATAAAGTACTAATACATGAACATTTTATTTTCAGACTGATTCTCCAACACGTGTTGTAACATCTTCATCAAGTAGAACCAGTCTGGTTTCCTCTGAAGACGAAACTGACAAAGAAGAGAAGACTGACAGTCTCAAACCAGAGTCTGACGATACGCCAAAATTCAAATCTCCACTTCTACAAAAACTGACAGAAGGCAAGGGCCAAGATGGAGATTCGGGAACTCCAAAGTTCAAATCTCCATTGCTGCAAAGCATTATGGGTAAAACAAAAATGGGTGCCAGATTATCGGGTACAAGATTGGACGAGATGGATAAAAGTACTGAGAGTCTGACTAAAAGTTCCGAGGAGCTGTCAGAGAAAGAGAAGAAGCAAGATATGGAGAAAGAAAAAGATATTATTGACTCTGGAATTTCTAATGGTTTGACAGCCTCTGTGAAATGTGAAAGTACTGAAAAGTTGATAGAAGACGATCATTTAGCATTGCGTATAGATGTTGATTCTCATGACATGGGAAGTAACAAAACTGTGATAGAGGTTAAAGATAAGGAAGACAGTGTAGAACTAGATAATGATGAAGAAAATGTAGAAAATAATGTTAGTGATAGTGAAACTACAGACACAAAAACTGATTCTCAAACTATGATGGACCCAAATGTTGATAGTGCTCTTTCGTTGTCGTTTAATGGTATTGGGAGCTCTTCTCATAACGGGGATCTACATATAGAACAGAAAACACCAATAGATCCTAAAGATTTGGTGGACTCAAGGTTAGTATATAGTTCAATGTTTCGATGTAAAACTGTTGTAACTCGCTCTCACCCTGCTGAATTTGTGTTTATAGATTTAACTTGCTTTTAATTTAAAATTGAACATCGTGAGGTTGAGGGGCTACAATTATCATATTTTATATATGAGAAGCCAAGGGGATATAGCTTGGTCCCTTTGCACATAAGTGCATATTGGCTTTAGAAATTTTCTCAGTTTGTGTATCTTGTTTAACCAGGTCCTTGTAGGGTAGATTTAAAACGAAATTTAAATACAGTTGGGTAAGATTATATAAGTTTAGTACTTAAGTAAAAGTATAATGCAAATTTTAGTTTTAGGTGCATAAACACTAAAAGTAGTGATAAAAATGTGATAAAGTTAGTACTTAGTAGTTCTTGGGTGTGCACAGTGATGTAAACTACACATATATATTTGAATAAGGGGGGGTAATCAATGATTTACTATTAGAATAAAATGGTCAATATTTTATTCAGAATTGCCTCCCTTGAATTGATATACTACACATAAATAGTTATGAAGTTGAAGGACAAACTTGTTTTATGGATGAAACATAATGCCTGTCTACCAGTTCCATAATTATTTTAATTGATGCACAGCATGTTCTTGGAACATCTGCCTCATTTGGGCCTTCAGCAATATTTCACTGGTAACTAATGTTTGATACATTTATAATTTAATAGACATATAGAGGATATTTGTTTAGTTCAGTGTAAGATCGGAATATATTTCACCGAGTGAGCACCAAAAGGTATATTTCACGAGTGGCACAGCCACGAGTGAAATATGAACTTTTGGATGTTCACAAGGTGAAATATATTTCGATCTTACACTAAACTAAACAAATTTTCTTTTTATTATATGCAAAGAAACGTTTTAAAAAGACATTAAACCTAATACTGAATGAAAAGCGCGCCAAATAATTATACAACGTGACGTCATTTACAACGTAAAGTCATTAAGTTGGTACCCAGTACTGTGCACGCTGGTATTTCACTGAAACAACGTAAGGGGCTTATATTCAAAACTGTGAAATTATCAAAGTGGTAATTTCACTGTTTCAAACAGTGAAATTACCAGTTTTATATCACTGATATATTTCTATAAACCACCGAAAAGCATGTAATAAAATGTGATTAATTAATACAACAATTTTGTTTGTTTGATATGGAAATTAATTATGAAAATTAGATTTTGACTTTTTCTAAAAGTTGGAAAACATTGAAAGAAGACATCAAAATTTCATTTGTCTTAAGATAAGAATGAAATTTACATCTTATTTCCATACTTGATCTTAGGATCTTGTTCAAATTAGCATATTTCATAAATACAATGACAGTTGAGGTTAAGTAAAGAGTTTTGTTTTACCTGGTGACCCTCCTAGTAGATGTTTGTTCATAAATGTTTAAAATTGTTCATATTGTTCATAAATTGTTTAAGCATTCATTGTAATCTTGTGGTGACATTGAGGCAGTGTTTGGTGATGTAAAGTTGGGGACTTCTGTGACTGAGTTATCAAGGTATAGGTTATAAGTTTAAATCTTGTCAGCAACCTTGAATGGTATCCAGACTGCTGTTATTCTGAAGTTTAATGTTTCTACATACATGTCTGTCACACTTAAAACAATAAAGTAATCAAATGAATGACATTAGGCGGATATTTATCTATTTCTAAGACTTTTAAATTATTGTCTATAATGACATTAACATGACCAGGATACTTCTAAGGATATTGTTGCATCATCTTCAGTCTGTTTTAAATATGTTAATATAACTAAAGTTGTGCATTTATAACTGAAATTCATGCAGAAAGCTTTCACTCTTTAACTAAAATAAAACCTTATTTTTCAGATATTAAAGTTTTGATATTTAACTCACTCAAATATTTTTCAGACATAACTTAAATTGCAGCTAGTCGATTATATATTTTATATATAAGTTACTGGTACATGTAACTATATAACATGACTTTATAACTAAACTGTGGTACTGTGGTAAATTACATGTTAGTTGAATAACTTACACCAACCTTGAGTATATGTGTTTTAGTACATCACACTTTATCCTTCAGTCCTTCAGGCTACATATAAAATCTGATAGGTTTATTATCATAGCACTAATGAAAATGCATATAAACAACCTTGTGATAAAACTAACAAATTTGTATTCATTTTCTTCTTTTTACAAATATTCACACATCTTACCCTTTACCTGCTGAATTTATATAATAGATTTGTCCAGTTTTTGTATTCGGGCCAGTCCATTTGGCAATTAAGGGATTTTAATGACAAAACATAAAATATAGAGTCTAGGCTGGCCTGGCTTTATACTGATGATAGAGGTTTGTCACTTTTAGGAATTGACATGTGGGTTGATCTTTTATATTAGTTCTAGTTTATGAAAATATTTATCTTTGTCCATATCAGGTTGCTCAATTTACAATAATAACCACCATTTGAACAATAGTCTCAATGCAATATTGAGTTGATAGTGGCTGGGAAATCAGCCAAATAATACTTGCATTTCCCCATAATTTGTGTCAGTTTGACTTTAGACACAATAAATTGTAAATGTAAACAATTTTTACCAAGCAATATGAGTTAAGGAGACAGCTTAGTGGTAATAAATGTTAACTTTCAATATTTTACCCCTCACTGCTTCAAGTTTGAATCTTCAAAGCATGTTGATTCCTTTCTTGTATGGAAGCTCAGAATAAAACTTTTTACAGAAAGTAGTGGCCATCATTCTCTTGCCTGCAGGTGTCTGAAATTAAACACTGAAGGGTAACAAATCAACATATTTATAAGTATTAAATCTAAGACCTTGAAAAATTTAACAAAGTTAACATATTTATCAGTAAAGCTTGAAAAGTAAAATCTTGAAAAAAAATTGTAACAACAAACAAACAAATGAACAAACAAACAAACAAACAACATATATATAACATCTTGGAGGTATTAAAATACCTGTTTAGTGTAAAGATATACAACAGGTAATTTATAAAGTGTTACAGCATATTAGGTGTATCATAATGACAATGTATTGTTTTAAAGGACAAGGTTAGAACATCATCTTTCTTTCATCTCCTAGTTTACATTCTTCTTGTTGATATTTTTACTGTACATTCTTGTCAAGAGATTTATAAAGAACAGTCAGGATTTGATGTAAATAACGTACAAATATAACAATAATAAGTGAGTGTTTTTAAAAACTGTTTTGTGCCTGCTTGTATCTACAGGGTTTGGTCTTTGTATATAGTTTGAAATTAATGTGAAATTTGCAGACTTTAGTTTAATAGTTGAACATGAATGACAACCTTTAGTCTGTACGGCTCCTTTAAATGGACATTATTGCTTGATACTGACACTGTTGAAGTTTTATGATAACTTGCCTTGCTTAATTAAGAATTGTTTTAAACAATTTCTATATTGATAATTCAGAATTGAAAAGCCAAGTGTATTATGTAGCTTCATCAAACTGGGGTGCATTGTAGTACATACTGGTTACTATAGGCCATTTACCAGTGTGGTATATCCAACCAGTGGATGAGGGAGCTATTCAGCTAGCTTCTGGAAGCCCAGACTTACACCACTGGTCTCTGGATTGCTGGTCCAGTATGCTTACTACTTCACCACATGGTGGCTGTTTTCTTTATAAATATATGCTGTAGATTCACTAAATTTTGTGGGCTTGAAATTTCATTGTTTTGTGCGTTCTTTAATTCAAGAATAGTCTGTTTTTGCAAAACAGTAAAATGCAAATGGAAAATAACCATACAGCAAATGAAATAAAATTTCAATGGATCTTAAATTTTTGGATTAACCTAATCATGAAAAGCACAAAAATAAGAGCCTCACAAATAAAATGATTTTGCAGTACATGATTGAAAAGGTTTATAAAGTGAGATTTTTTTTTTTGGCTCACTGGTCTGTAACATTCAATTAATTGAATTTCTTTCAAATATCTTATTTGTGATCTAAGTCATTAAATAAACCATTTCACTTTACTATTATGAGTGAGCACAGACCTTTTACATCTAACTTACAGGATGTACTGTGTTTGAAAAAAAAAAGCATGTAAATGTTTGTTCTTAACAAAAGTTTTGGCCAGGGTTCTTAAAATGTTTCCTTCATTCCAAATTAATATCAGACTTAACATTATTTGATTAAAGCTTTTTTTTAAAACTTTTTTTGCAAATTTTTCATTTCTATAATGGGAGTTACTGTATCATAGGTTTAAGTTAATGAAGAGATTTTGGTATTTTAAGTGTTTGTAATAAGCATTAACAAGATAACCTCATTATAAAACCAAAACCAAGTTTTCATTCAAGTGTATAATTTGCACAATTTTTTAGTAACTAAGCCTGAAGTACGGATAAGTAATGTGTTAGTTTTGTAGCTAATTGAATAAAGGTATAAGCTGTATACTTTAAATGTATTATTCGCGTGTGCACCGACGTTATATTGACAAAAAGTCATGTATCGGCAAATGTCAATATTGATTTCAGGATTAGAGTGACTCTCGATAACATGCCGGAACCTTCAACCTTACCATATCTTACATGGTGAACTTAGTGTACAAATATAGAGAGAAACTAGCATGTTTATACATACATGGTGTGACACGCCTATCTATAATCTATTTAAATCATAAAATCTGGGGCACATGTCAAAATTATCGCCATATTGAAAAATATTTTTGTATCGACTTTGATTTAACTTTTGCCGATATTTTGTTTTGTGAGCAGACAGTTTGTACACTGATCATCTACGTTCAATAAATATGTTGCCCTGTTTAAGTAAAAGGCTCGTTATCTCTATACATGACTGACAATAAAAAGTAACGAAGATAATTCAACTATTGTCACTATTGATCTATCAATGGCGTAATTATAATTATATTCTAGTGTAATACATACACACAAAACTTGTGATAATACATAATTGGATTTATGAAAATAATTAGATTAACACATTGTATTCCA